TTAATTTTTCTAATTGTCATCAACAGATACTTGTGTTTTTATTGATAATTAATACAGACAGCTTTGTGATGAAACTATCCTTCCACGGTTGAAATATTGTTTTTTTCGATGATTCATCTTTATATAGGATTGGATAGTTTAATGAACCGTTAGAAATGATCAATGATGTACATGACTGAGCAAAGCAGAGGTTTTGCCAAACAACAAAAAGAAATGTAAAAGAAAAATGGCGTTTTAAAACAGCTGAAATATGAAATTGATCTTTTTCATATTTTATCAATAATATATAGTTATAGATAATGTCTCGTAGTTTGCCTTATCGTCTTGAATGTCCTGAAAAATATCTACAAGTTCAAGATGATGCACTTAATTCAACATTTTTTATTCTAAGACAAACTGGTCCAACAGCTTTTGTTATTAAAGAAGATGATGAACGAATGTTTAAAGTATTGATAATAAATAAAATTTTGATTACATAGACATGTCATATAAATTAGGTATTTTTGGGTGATCAACATCAATGTACTTGTAATGCATTTCAACGAGACCGAGATTTATGCAAACATCTTTGTTGGCTTCTATTAAAACGATTTCGTGTACCAAGAACTAATCCTAGTAATTAATAATGATATTGACAAGATATTTTTTCTATACATATATACATAAATATATTTAGTACTTTGGCAAAAAGGTCTTGTTGAACGAGAAATAAATGAACTTCTACGTGGTTTAGCACGAGAAGATGAACGGAACAAAACAAATCATAATCATAGACCAAAAGTAAAAAAAAAATTAAATTTTTATACATTGTTTTAATTAGAAAATTTTCATACAAGTTTTTTTCCGATCTTTTGACAATATCCTAATGATTATTTAATTATAAAGAAAGATTTAGATTGTCTTTACAATTTTCTCGTATGGTATACTATAGAAAAGAATTGAAACAAACACTAAACTTTGATACTCATTCATATAATCTAACAATTTCTAATCATAAAGAATTATTCGATTCGGTATGTTTTTCGCTAATGTAAAATTAGAATGGTGAAATATGTTTTTAAACATACTGTCATTTTATATTTGATATTAATTAATGAATTCATTCAAATGAAATAAAAATTAATTTTTTTTTATGTAACAATAAAAAAAAGGATAGTGTAAAATATTCTTGAGATTCTTCATAGATCATTTGCATCTAATCTTTGCATAATCGATCAATCAAAACTATGTACTTGTCATGAATGAAAACATTTTCTAAAGATGATGAAAAGAAAGAAATTAGAAATTTTTACATTTCAGAATGATAATGGAAATGACGGTGATGGTGATGGTGAAGTTGAACAACGACCAATCAATGAAAATGATGTATGTCCTATATGTCAAGAAGAATTTTTAATTAAAAAATTACCAATTACTTATTGCAGGTTTGATCAAATTTTTCAAAACTATAAATTAGAAATTAATTCAATATTTGATATCTTGTTTTTTAGACATGGTTGTGGTAATAATGTTCATGTTAAATGTATGAAAGTATGGCTTGATCATCAAGTATCAACTGGTGAAAAAACAGTTAAATGTCCATTATGTCGAGAAACATTTGGTACACCTGAACAACTTAAACAAGAATTTCGGTATAAGAATTCTCGTTCAATTTCTGTTGTTCAAAAAAGAAAAAAAAAAGAATTAATATTTTCTATTTTTCAGTACAAGTGGTGCTCAACAAGCTGAAAAATCATCTATTCATTTAAGTTATTCATGTCATCGTTGTCGTGCTTGTCCAATTACAGGCAAATGTTATAAATGTACAACATGTCATGATTATTTTCTTTGCCAAACATGTTTTAATTTAAATATACATAATGAACATAATTTTGATTATCGAGAAGTAAAAAACAATAGGATTTTTTCTTTAAAAATTATCTTAATTTAATAATTAAATGAATTTTATTTTATTTTAGAAATCATTTCAACGTTGGAAATTAGCAACACGAGAACATTTAAATGCATTACCTAATGCACTTCATCAAATGTTAGCAAATAGAGAAATAACAGAAAATGATTATGATATTCTTCTTCAACTTGATAAGTAATTAACATATTAAAATATTTGTTTTTATTTTTATCTATGTTTTTTTTTCTGGTAATCAAGTGCTCAAAATGCAGCTATTATGGGTATACCAGAAAATGTTGTTAAATCAATGCCAACTGAACGTGTACATGAACGAAGTCGTTTATTACAACATGGTGAACAATGTCGTTTATGTTTACGGTCTTATCAAATTGGTGAACGTGTTCGACGTTTACCATGTCGACATAAATTTCATATTGATTGTATTGGTAATTTAAAAAGAAATAAACAAATATTATTTTCTATTTATTTGTTATTTTTTTTTTACTATGTAGATGGATGGCTTTTACATAGTCATCCAACATGTCCAATTGATGGTCAACTTGTATGGAGTGCTGAAATGGATAATGAACAAAGAGAAGCAAAACGGTAATGTTTAAAAAGGAAACAGAAATTTTTCTTTTTCAGTCAATATGAAATTTTAATTTATTAAAGATGAAATTTTCTTCTTGCCGATAATGTCTATCAAGAATCTCAAAAAAAAACATTTTTTGTAACTGAAAGAATTCTCTATTACGGTTAGTAGACCGAAGACCCCAGTAAAACTGCTAGAAAAAAAGATTTTCGGAAAATCAAGATACTTCAAAATCGAAGAAAGATTTTGTTTGATAGAGCAAATAATTCTGAGCAAAATAAGACAGTTCCAATCGTTTCATAATCCTTCTTCATTGAATTTTCTTACGCGTGACATTTTGGAGTCTTCTGTAAATAGAATGCATTTCAACCAAGGGAGGCCGTGCAGAGGTCGAAGGCGTCTTATCTTGTTCAGAATCATTTGCTCTATCAAATAAAATCTTCAAATACAAACTAGAAAGCTGATTTTGATGGGATCTTGATTTTTCACAGGTCTTCATTCGAATAGTTTTCTTAAAATTTTCAAAAGTACTAATCTTGCTTGTTTTTCAAGGTTCTTGTTAGTTATTACTATCGAGAAGAATATTCGAATAAACAATTGCTTTAAACTTTTGTTTTTATCACTCTAGTTCTGCTCCTGTTGCTACTCGACACTCAACAAAACATGTATCTACTTCTGGTTCATCTTTACTGTCAGTTGATATGGGTTTATCTATTACTCCTTATCAAGTACGGCCATTTAATGCACCAACAACGACTGATCTAAATCAACGATTTCGACGTCTTCATATGCGTGCACCACTTCGTCCATTAATAGCGGCAACAACGAATGAATTTCCATCATCTCTTGAAATAAATGCCTATAGTTTAGGAAATCGACAATTATCAACAAATGATGTTGAACGACGAGAGTCATTATTATCATCACCTTCATTAGTACGAGAAGAAATTCGACGAGTAAATATTGAATTTAATCAAGATTTTACATTACCACCAACTATCATTGGTCGTCGATTACTTGAACGTAGACGTTCAAATGCTAAATAATATATTTGCTCACATTTTGAGTTCATTGTATACGACATATATTTTTTGTTTTTCTGTTTTTTCTTTTTTGGTTATATTTTTCTTTTTCTTCTTTGGAATATTTCACATTTGTATTTGAGAAAAATATAAATTACTGATAAAGATCAGACGAATCGATCGAAATCTCACAAAAGAAAAATCTATCAAAACATTTATTTAATTCGATTTCAAGAGAACATATAAGCCTGTATTAAAATATTAAATTTAATAGAAATGCTTCAAATAAACTAAATGCCAATGATTAAAACAAATTATTTGATTTTCGTGATTCTTTTCTTGTTTCTATTCATATATTAAAAAACAGAAAAAAAAAAGTCATTTCTCTCCTTGTGAACTTTCAATGAAGACAAAAAAGAAAAAATAATAATAATTCTTGATGATCATATGATTTTTATTTGTAAAAACTTTTTTTTTCAATCACTCGATGGTTGTATTTGTAAATAACCTGTTTGAACATGTTCATTACATTTTGCACGTGCTTCATCAGCTGTTTTTGAATCACTACCAACTTGTCGACCAATTTCATTATTTGTTAAATCCATAACACGTTCATTATATGGTCCTGTTGTATTATTATCTTCATGAAGATCGGCAACTTTTTTGGCTTGATCACGACCAATACTAATTGTCATTAAAGCATTCCAATAACAATGACGAAAAGCATCACCAATACCATTATGTAATGTTTCTGGTGGATAACTGTTTCGAGCTTCAGCACCAGCATTATCAGCATCAGTTTTAGCTTTAGCACAATCAAATGGACCAACAAGAAATATACATTTGATACCTTCTGTTAGTGTTGACCTAATCATAATTATTATAAAATGTTAGAGAAAACAAAACAAAAAGAAAAACGAAGAAGTAAACAATGAATTTTACCCTCGTGGTTCACCCCATGATTTATCTATGACTGTTGCTGATGGTGCAGCTTGAATACAAGTAATAATAGCAAGAACGGCGAAGATAAGAAATTGCATGGATATTTTTTTTCTTTTAAAATTCGATGGTTTTGAAAAAAAAAGTGTAAAAAAACTAAACTTTTCGAACGTTTTTATATCAATCATTTTTGTTATTTATCCTATTGTTGTAAATTGATATGCTTTCAAAATCCATATTTCATTAAAATATTAAAGGATTTAAAATAAGCATTCAAAAAAACAATATTGAAACTTGATAATATATATATAAATTAATTTAGTTTAATATATTCTTTTCTTTTTTACATAAAAGATTAAGGAGTATACGACAGAAAAAAAAACAAAAAAACAAAAATTAATTGCAATCGAACAACAAAGATTTATTTTCTTGAAATCAAAAGAACTTAGTAATATATAGCTACATAGTAGCTACACATTTATTCGTTGATAAATAATTTTATACATAGAAAAAAAAAAGAAAACAAAACGAATAGTTAGAAAGAATTGTTCATAAATTAATGAAATCCACTTGGATCATAACGTCCGAAATGACTTCGATGTCTAGAAAAAAAAAAGAAAATTCTTTTAGTTTTTTATTCAATAAAAATGATTTAATTACCGAAAAGGTTCAAAAGGCATATTCATTGGATAATAATCATAACCACGATCATCAGAAAATTCATCACCCGCAAAATATGGTGGAGGAAAATCCATTTCAAATGTACTAATTCAATAATTAAATAATATTCTTTGAAAAAATTAAAACAAAAAACAAAATTTTTACTTATAACGTGATGATGGATAACCGTATGGTAAACGATCACGAAGGCTAAAACCTCCACCTTAACAAAAGCAAAAACAAAAAATTAACAAATTATATTAATTGACAAAGAATTTTTTACCTGGATAACCAATATTATTTAATGAGAATGGATAACGATGACTAGATAATGAACTAGGTCGAAAATTTAGTGAACTACCACGACGAGACCAACGATCCTAAACGAAAGAAAAAAACGGTAAGATCATTTTATAAAATTTTTAATATTTACAAAATATAATACGTTTCAAATGAGTTTTTTTTGTTCCTTTTGATTTTCTGGTTTAAGTTTACTGCAATCTGATTGTTTTTTTTTTAGAAAATTAGTATATAGCGAAAAAGTACACTTGATCGATTGATATATTTATCATGAATAGGAGTCAACTGATACAGAGATTGATTAAAAAAAAAAGAACTTTTGAATACTTAAAAACAATAATGTTCATACGTACAAAACTAAAGAGAAGACAAAAATTCGATTTACTCTAATTTTACGTTGTTTTAACAAAACATAAATCATATTTTTGTCTTTGAACTTTATATGTTATTCATGATAAATATATTAACAAATGCAGTGTAATTTGTACTTCCTCTATACGTATCAATTATCGATAAAAGAATCAAATTACGGTAGACTTAAACAAAAAAAAAACCTATTAGCACAATCTCTACAAGATTAGAATGTGAAATATGATGTACATGTTGTTGCTAATCATATGAAGACTCTTTCATTTTGTAATACATTTCTTCACCATCTTTTTTTTTTACTTAATCTTCAAGAAATATGATAAGAGAGTAGCTCATATATTATAACGAGACGTTATTCATATAAGAAGTGTGATCATATATCAACAACGTCTGTCATAGTTTATGGAGAAAATAAAGAGTAAAAATTCAATTAGGATAGTTTATAAATAATCTTTTAATTTTTTACTCGATCAGATCCTCCATCATTCGATGATGGCATTGTTGAAAGTAAATCATTTTCATTTCCATTATTTCCTCCATTATTATTATCATTCATATTATTATTATTATTATTAGTTGATGATGAATTTGTTGTATTATTTCCATTAGAATTATCATTAAATTGTTTTTCGAATTCATCAACATGCATTGATGGTGGTCGACTTGTATTTAATGGACGATTACGAAAATGATCTATACGTCGTTGAACACCATTTGTTGTCGTATTTGTATTAACACTAGGAATTCGAACATTTCGACGATTATTTCCACGCATTGGTGCACTCCATGGTGTACGACTTTTTGATACACTTGTTGTTATTATAGATGTATCTACATTAGATGTTGGTTCAACTGTAACTGTTCGTTTTTTTGGTGAAGATCTTTAGAAAAGAAACAAAAAAAAAACAATAAAGTAAATCAATATTAAAATTTTATATATTAAATAAATTTTTTACTTTCGTTTTTTTGTTATTTTATCAATAATTTCTTTTTTATATTCATCAAAGAAATTAAATGTTCCACAATATTTACCAATAAAATCTTCAAGATCGCATTTAACCTAGAAAAAAAACAAAAACAAAATTTTAAAAAAAAGTTTAATTTAGAATATTAATGTTTAATACTTTTTCATTTGTTTCATCTGGATTTGTTGTTGTATCATCTTGTCCATAATCAACATCATCAAGTAATGATGGTGTTGGAATTCCAAGCCAATAAATTTCAGAACTTCGTTGATCATCAGTATAATCATTAACAATTGTATATATAAGACGATTTTGAAATTGAATATCAATTGATTCAGATTTTGGTAGAGTTATTTCATTCGTTGATAAAGTTTCTATTTAATAATACAAAAAAAAAAAATAAATAGAATTTTTTAAAATTATGTATTCAGTGTAATTTCTTTCAAGTTAAAATATGAAATAAGAATAATCTATAGGAATAAAGCCTGATGTTTCCTTTTAAAAAAAGCTATACAGAGTTGGAGCGTTGGCTTTGATTGTCAATTGTATAATGAAACAGTAAACGACACTCCTGATTCAATTTTTATGTAAGTAAAGTTGTTAATTTCAGTAAAATATATACGATGGCTAATAAAAAAAAACACTTATCCCCTTATGAAATGTAGTTTTTGAAACAATTTGTTTTCTTCTGAGTGAGGATATATTGTTCCGACATAAATTTCACATGCAATGAATTAGTTCTTTGTCTCTAATTACTATGAAATATTTTAAAAAAATAAAAATATCTGTCTAATAGGTTTTTCTAAGTCTCAATATATTACAAAAATCATTAAACAAAACAAACTTAAATTCTAAAAAAAGTAGAAATAATACTACAATACGGATTAAGTTTTTTTATTAGGCAACTTTGTAACTATATTTTAAATTGGCGTCATTACTACGAATAAGCTTTATTATGTTAAGGAATGCATAGTTTTGATAAACTGTTCACTGAAAACTTACATTGGCTAAAGTGAATCAGTATTCACTAATTTACCTCACATATTCATGGAGCGTATGCAAGGAGGAACGAGCGAAAATGCCGTACTTCAGCGTACTTCAAGACTATGTGATAACTGTGCATCAGTTCTCGTTATCTATTTCAAGTCTACTATCGACCTGTGTTATAGTATATTAGTCGGAGTCCAGTCTACGTAAGTCTATATAACAAAAGTCCAAATACTTTACGGTACTTTCAATTCGGAAGTACCGTGAAGTATTTGGGCGTTAGGGTGAGGTTGACTTAAGTAAGCGGGACTCCGGCTAATATACCGTAACACAGGTCGATAGTAGACTTGAAATAGCTAAAGAGATCTGATGCACAGTTATCACATAGTCTGGAAGTACGCTGAAATACGGCATTTTCGCTCCTTCCCCCTTGGGCGTATGGATGTATCAACAGTTCAGTAAATATCGAAGCAGTGTAGTCAGGAGACTCACTATCAATACTTCAATGTTTTCACCGAAACTTCACACTTCTGATTGTATTGCGAATGCTAATTTACAACTGAATAGTTAGTATATCTATTACTAAGAGAAATATTATTAATATTATCCATTGAGATTAAGTTTCTTTGTACAATCATAAAAAATTCTCTAACATCAATATCTACATGAAACTATAGCAATAATAAATAAATAAAGATAGTCATTGAAAAAGAATAATAGTTTCAATTTGCGACTAATTTGAAGTCATCGAAAGAAGAAATATTTTTCTTTTTGACATTTAATTTATGACATAAATACAAACCTTGTTCGTTTTGATTTGTTTTAAGTGCTTGTATAATACTATTAGCACGTTCATAAATTTTTTGCAATGTTTGAACACATTGTTGATCTTCTTCATTTTGTTCTAAACTATCTAAATTTCCACCATTTGTTTGTTGTTTATTTTCATTTTCATGTGTACCAGATGAATCCTACAATGATAATTATATAGAAACAAAAAAAAAACAAAAGTACAATATTCAAAAGCAAAATAAAATCTTCTCTTACATCATTAACAACAGCATTAATTAAATCAATAAATTTTTCTAATTGACTTTCGTTATTTGGTGCAACACCAAGTAATTCACGAAAGAAAGATAATGATAAACGTTGAGTTCGAATAAAACTATAAAAAAATAAATTTATTGAAAATTGAAATATTTCTTTTTTTCTACTTACACTGAATCAGGTATATTTTCAATGGTCATAATTCTTTGTAAAAATATCATTAAAGCAGATACAGCTTCAAGATAATCGGGTTGTTCTTTATCAAATCGAAGATCAAATTCAGCAATTAATGTACAAAGTACTTCTTTATTTTGCATTAAAGCTCTAGATAAGAAAAAAAAGAAAAAGAAAATGAAAATAAAACAAAAAAAAAAGAATATTATTTTATTTTTACATTCGAATCATTTGTAAACCAAAATCATGTTCAGCAAGTGATATCATTGTTCGAAGTGCCATTGTTGTTTGTGTCCATGTTTGTTGTTGTTTAGTTGATGAAAGTAAACGAAGAATATTTATTAATATAGATGATAATAGTTCTTGATTTGGTAATGTATTAGCAAGAATTTGTAATGAATTATCTGAAGATTTTGATGATGAAAGACATAAATTTGCATCACATAATGTTTGAATTATTGACTAAAAATAAATATAAAAAAAGAAAATTCAATGTATTCTTATTCAATATATATAGAATATTATCAAAGTTCATTGAGGAAAAATAACGTGAATAAGTTTTGAAAAAATTAAACTCATATATTTAAATTTTCTATCATTTTATTCAACTTTCTCGTTAAATTTTTGTTTTGCTTAATTATATTTGTGCTCATTGTTCAAAATGGAACTGATGTACTACATTAATGAAACGCGAAAATACCTAAATTTGTTGAATTGACTAAAATTCTGTCATCATTCTGAATGATGTCAGAAAACAATTTAATTCACATCATAATTAAAGAGATGTAAATGTAAGCTGAATAACTTGACTACGATAACAAATTATTTAAAAATGAATTATCTTTAAAAACTTTAAAAGTATATATGGTAATGGTGTTTGATTTCGAAGAAATTTTGATTTGGTTATGTACTTCAGATAGAGAGATCTCAGATCTATAGCTCAAGGCATGATGCAGATGATTTTATTCTTACATCTTAATGATGAACATACAAAATCATGTACCTACTTAGTCAAATTATACAAAATTTTGTTGGTTTTTATCAAAAAGCTTGAAAATAGAACATAGTTTTCATCTATATTCTTGAAGCTTTTGAAAAAAAGATGGGTTTTAAAATAATTTTGTCTTATATAGTAAGTTAGTGAGTTTATATCCATCCTCTTTAATATTGAGGTAGACATTAGCAATATGAATCGCATCAACTTTTTCTTCTGCTATCACTGTAGAACACTAAGAAGATGACTGATTTGTTTAAGTATAAACTTCATAAAAGCTGTTTAAATATTTCTTTAACACAATCTTAATTTATCGTTTTTGTATCATATTCAATTGTTATGATTCGTTTTACAATCATAGGTGACTCCATTTGGACCATCAATAAAATTGTTTCGATTCTAATATTTATAGGTTAGGGTATTTGATTCGAATTATGTTAAATATAAAACTCAAAGAGACATCGAACGAAGTGTTGAAGAATTCGAGAACGTCGCTTGAAATGTTCAAGAGTTATTCACATTTTCCCTTATCCTGATGAACTTTAGAAACACTCTATATAAAACAAACCATTGTAGCCTCTTGACAAAGACATGTTTCATTCGATTCAGCACGTGTATGAAGATATTCAAGCATATCTTTAATAATCAATGTATATCTTTCATCAGAAGAATTTCTATTTAGAAATAAAACAAAATGTAACAAAGTTCAAAAAAAGGACAAAATTGACTTACAAAAGTGATAATAAAGCACATTTTCCAGATCGAATAGCAATAAGTGAAGCAATAAATGCAACTAAACGACCTGAATCACTTATGGATTGTTTTGAGGATTTAGCTGTTTCACTATGATCATTTTTCCAAGTAGATATAAGTTCTTCCATTAATTTTCTATGAGAGAAAAAAAAAAGAATATTTTAATTTTGATTTTTAAAGAAAATATTTTCCTTATTTACTTCATAATATTTTTAGCTAATTTTGGACCTAAATCAATTAATTGCATACATAAACGTCGAAGAATTTCTTGCATTATTGAATTTGATGTATGAGATAATGGTTGAATTAATTTTTGAAAATAATGATTACTATCATGTGTCCATATATAATGAATAACTGTATGATATCGATGAAAATCATCTTTTATTGCATTTGTTTCATTTTCAGTTAATGCCTATGGTAGAAAAATTTCTCAATTATAACTTCGTTTTTTTTAGAATATTGAGAAATATAACATATGCAAAATTTACATATTATCGTAGACAAAATTATAGTTACTTTCTATAAAGATTTCAAGTGAATTGAACTCAAAATTAAGTTATCATAGAAATATATGTCAATTTTAGAATGTATACGTCTCTATTTCTTTATATAAGAATATCTTTGATTACTATTTAGATCTAATCCATGTTACAAAACATTGCCAAGATTTATTTGAAGTTTTAATTTTGAAGTGAATTTAATTTTCTATATCAAATTTCTTGATAAAGAAGACTGATATATAGAGAGCAGTAGAAAAATCCATTGAGAAAACGCATTCTGTAATGCAGAAGTCATGAAGTTTTTTCATTTGCTAATCTTTCTCAACTGGGCTGTTTCTCATAGACAAAAGACATTTCTAGTTTGTAATAATTACTAATACGTTTTCTGTTATATATCATCAAAAGGTGTCAACAGTATGACAAAGCACCAAAGTTATGAATTGTAGTAATGAACATAGAAATATTGAAAAATATCTTAATCAGCCGACTATTTCATTTATTATGTAGTTCAGATAAATGTATTTGAAATATGTTACTTAGTAATCTTTAAAACACGCCAAGAAGTAGACATTTTAAATTGTTGCAAAAAAATTTCTAATGTCTCTAATATCTTGACGATTCTGGTTTCACTTAATGTTTTCGGAACCGAATCGGAACTATTTTTTTCCTATTTTAACAATCCGGAAGCGGAACTGGAACAGCTGAACTCTACCGACACTTCCCGACAAGCTTTAAGTACACATCCATTAGAGTTGTAACCGGTGACGGTAAATGGTCACTCGTCTTTGATCTTTTTCTAAAGTTTACACATGTTTTTTCTCGTTTTAGCATAGATCAAATACTTTATACTACTATTGCAGAGTATAACTGTGATGAAACCTGGATTAGAGTATTTCTATGAATTAAAAATTCATTATAGTATAGTTAATATATTTTATTCATTTGTATTTCATATCATTCTCAAAATACGTTTCACATAGATATAAGACCTAACAAATCGATTATATATACGTGATTGATAATATCAGGCTGACTAGTATATAAACAATATTCAAAGCTAATAAACAATCTGTAGCCGTATGAAAATTCCTGTGTCCTTATTGATACTAAACGGAAGAGACACTTATGGTAATAAATAGTGAAAGAAGATATTTACATCATTACTGAAGTGATTACAAGACAGATACGACTGATCAAAGCATTGATTTGACCGTTATGGAGTCGAAAAAAAAATGAAGAATGGCACATCTCAGTATACTAGTAAGACTGGCCATTTATATTGGTAGTATCAGTAAAGAAAACTCTCATATGGTTGCATCCACAACAGTGATTTATGCAAAAAAAACAACTTCGTTATAAAACATTATAGTTCTCATTCCAATATTAAAATTAGCTTTAAGATATGATACTTGAATAAACCATTACATAGAAATCTTATTAGCAATTGAAATATAAATAAAATATGTAGAAAAGGCTTTTAAATTTTGTCTACGATGGTAAATAATACATACTTAAACTACATAAATATGAAGATACTTCACCTGTCGAACAGTATGTGGTAATGGTATTGGTAAAAGTTCAGTAAGAAGACATAAACCACTGGTAATTGAATATGGAAAAAGTGTTGTTAAACGAAGAATTTCTCGAAGAACTAATGTCCAAGCACAATTTTGAACATTGACTAATATTATAAATAGACCCAAAAAAAAATAAAAATAAAAATTTATATAATCATTAAAAAAAATCCCTACCTTGTTCACTATCAGATTGAATTGACCAAGGATAAGCAAGAAATAAATCAATTAAATTTGTTCGAATAATATCAACATCAGCTAATTCAGTTGATGGTGATGCACAAAGTGTTACTGTATAAATAGAAAACAATGCATGAACAGGTGTTATATCAACAAACTAGACAAAGAAAAATAATAATCAAAAAAAGAATTAATTATGATAATGAAAAACAAAAAACAAAAAAAAAAGAACAAACTTTAGTTTTTCGATCAAGTGTTAATTTTTGTAAAAGTGTTTTAAAAATAATTAATGCTGAAATAACTATTCCATATATTAAAATTCGATCAGGTCCACTTAATGGCATACCTATTTGCCATGTACGTAATAATGTATCAGCACATTTCTATTAATTAATTCCAAACAAAAAACAAAAAGAGTTATTTTAAGAAAATAAAAGAATTAAATAAATAATTTACTTCAAGTATATTAATTAATAATGAATAAATTCCATAATGATGTAATTTTAAAAGCATATAATCATATTTAATTTCAATTTTTGCTCCCAAAATAAATTGATTTTCAGATGGAATAGATAAATATTGTATTATACGTAATATTGTTATCAAACCTGGTGAAAATTCTCCAGTATTATTTGATTCATTTAATTGATTTTTTAATTCATTTATAAGATTTTCAGCTGTTTGTTGTGTATGATCAAAAGATTTTATTTTTAATAATGGTGAAAACCAATTTCGTAGACGAATTAATCGTTGATTTGAATCTAAAATAAATTCATAAAATATAATATGAAAATAAATAAGAAAAAAAGAAAAGAACAATACATACGTTTTTCACAAAGATCAAGTAAACGTAGACCATACGGTTCTAATAATAAAACAGAATCTGGTGTTGCAAATAATTCATAAATAATTCGTGCTACATAACGTGTTTGAATACTATTTTTTATTTGTTCAACATTACCTATTAAATAAATTGAATTAAAAATCAAAAATTAACAAAAAAACAAACAAATAAAACTAACCAGATAATTCAATAAAATGTAACAAAGGAAGAAAATTTGATTCCATAGAAATAACTTGAACAATTATTCGACGTTTATTTGATAATTTTCTTACATAATGATGAAATAAAATTAATGATAGAAGACAATGAAGTACTTGTAAAAGATCATTATCATCGATTTCTAAATCATCTTTTATACTAAATAATTTTAATTCATCAATATAACTTAATGTTTGAAATGCACACATTAATTGTGGACCAACTGGATCATTATTAATACCATCAAATTTTGTTTCCTATTATAAAAAAGACAATATTTTTGAATTAAACTCAATGAGAAAAACAGTCCGCTATGTGCTCTCTCTAGAATAAACCACTCGTCGAAAATAGAAGATTCCCCACACGTTAGAATCCTCATGGTGAGGGGGATGATGTGAAAAACTTATTAGAAGTTTCAGAGCTTTTATTGTGTCCAGATAATTTCAATTTTTTGAGCAAAACTTTACAGATGCTATTGCATTAGTCTTCTTCAGATATCGTCTGTCTATAAAAAAATGTTTCTCCAGACGACAGTTTATTTCAATTGAGAGTAATTTATAACAATCATTTTTATTTTTTGTTAACATCTAAGATCATCATTTTGTGTCTGACAACAAGTATTTGAATATTATCACATATTAACAAATTCATATTTGTTCTGCTCGTAATATCATAATATTTTTTGATTATTTGAACATTACAGAAGCTTCGAAAGTTTCTATTATGGCAAGTGACTTATTATTTAATAATAAATACTTACAGCAAAATAAAGTGCTTTTAATAAAAAATTTGGTGTTGATATTTGATTTGCAAGATAAATTAAACCATCAAATGAATTTAAAAATTCTCTTAAAATATCTTCAATTATATTAAATAAATCTTGTCGTTGATTTAATACACAGAAATGTATAAGAACAGTTAAAGATTTAAGAAAATCATTATCCATCATCATACGTAAAATCGATGGCCAAGGATTTTCATTATTTGAGATTTTCGAAAACATAATAGGTAGAATTGATTGAAATGGTGCTATACGAAATGATTTTTCTTGAGATATAAGATCAATTGAATTAATTAAAACATCACGAATAGTTGAAAGAGATATAAGAAGTTTATCGAAAAATATTTTTCGTTCGTTTATTGATAATGAAGATTCATCAGATGATAAACTGAAAAAGAAAAATATGTAAAAAAAAAAAAAAAAGAAGCTATTTCAATTGATTTTTATACATTTTTATTTGTGATTGAAATGAATGAAATTCTTCATTAAGATGAAGTTTTCGTATTAGACAACTAATCGATGCTATTAATTGTTTTACCTATAGAAAAATAAAAAATAAAAAAAACTAACATATCTTATTGAGTCTATACTTCTTTTCCAATATGTAATTTTTGTATTAAACGAAAATAAGGTGATTCACGAATTGTTGATGGAAAATCAGAATGTTGACCTGAAAAATTACAGTTAATAAAATATTTTTTTTTCTATTTTTTTTTTAAATATCAAACTTTACCAGTAAACCAAAGTAAACCCGATTTAAAAAATAAACTTTGATCAAGAGTTTTAATAATAAGTAATTTTACTGATGGCGCAATATATTCATCATCATATAAATCTAATAATTTTGATTGATAATCACTTTTCTAAATAGATAAACAAACAAAAAACCAATCTTAGAAAAGAACAGATCAAATTAAACTTACAGTCCAATCATTGGATATATCTTCTGTAAGCACACTTAAATATCCACATAATCGAACACCACATTTAATTATTCGAATTTTAAGTAATGTATCTTTTAATTCAGTAAATTGTTTTTCCATTATATATTCAACATTAATTAATTTAAGTGCCCAATCACTAAGACGTTGAACAGCTAATACTACATAAATAAAAACAAAAAAGAAAACATTATCAGTACAGCCTTTTTGGGACTAATATGTGAAATTTACATGTATTATTTAGCCTCATCATAATCATAAAAAAATACGTAAAGTGGGAAGTTTTTCACAACTTACAACTGTTTTCTAAATAGAACCGAACGACAAGAAAATAACTGTCTTATTTATTTCTGCAATTCGAACAGAATTTTTTTTGCTTGTTGCTATTTGTTCATTGTTTTCTAATTCAACACTTTTATTATTCGAACCATTGATTTAACTGACAAAAACATCTGTTTTCTACATCAATTATATCTAGAGCAAATCTCAACACACTATTATATATCTTAAGAAGCTCAGAAACACTCATATTGATTATGTTCCAAAAGTTATAACTTGATCAGTTAATATTTTTTATGTTGATCATATGACGATTGTGGAAAATAAACGCATTACTACTCATCATCATTGACATCTTGAAAATAAATTTTTATCTGCACAAAAATAAAAAACTGTACTATTGCGCACATTCACAAACGTATTTCAGCAATTCAAATTTCCAAGAAGACTTTGGAATCATCTAGAATAGTCTAACGAGAGAACCTCGTCAGATACTCTGTTTCTATTGAAAGGATTTTTTTTGCTTATAGATACTACATAGTTTTCCAATATTTCGAGTATTGATCTCGGTTCTTTGTGCATATAGAGAACTCAAATAGACTAACTTCCATAAAACAAATTCATGATGAATGTTCTATTCATGGAAGAGGTTCAATATGCTGAAAGTTTCATATCTTGAAGAGACTATGCTCAAAACTTCTGAATTTTTTTGATGGAAGTTAGTCTAATTGAGTTCTTCATATGCGCAAAGTTAAAAGATTGAAATTCAAAAATATGAGTTTTCTGAAAACTTCGGCACCTACACAAACCTCTAGAAAATAGACATATTTAAAATTCGATAGTAACCCAAATCCTTCTAAGATTCTTATTAGAACAATATGTAGTATGTATCGACAAAAAATTATTAAAACTGACAGAGAGCCCCTGAGAAGATTCCTTCATAAGTCTTATTAATAATGTTATTCTGCGCCTTTTCCGTTTCTCAGAAACCCTAGGAAAGGAATTTGACGTCTGGTGTTCTTAGTTGCTATGAAAACGACCAAACAATTGGTGGCTTTCCTCCTTTCTTTGTTACTATGAGGAGACAGTCGCAGAAAATCTCCTTAAAACTTCCGCTTGCTATATTTTTCTGCGTAAAACATATAATCAGTTTCATTTAAAAAAAAAGAGATTAGAATGCTTACCTAATTCTTCATTGGAATCTAAACATGCTAAAGCAATCGGTAACATTGTACATATGGATTCTAATGATTCGAGAAATCTGAAAAAAAAACACATTGATAAATTCTAAAAGAAAATTAAATTAATGAAATTTTCTTACATAATATCACAATGATCAATTGACACGTGTGAAAGTAATTTTCGAAAGAGAAGAACAAGTTCTTCATTAGCCAGACGATATTTGTCATGATGTGCTTTTTCACATTCAATTTCATAAGGTGTCTTTGTAGGTGAATGAAATGTCTGAATAATAAATTAAAAATCATTTAGCTTTTTTTTTTTCAAGACAATTATTTAGTCATTTTTAATATTTACTTGGAGAATAGTAGAACGTGTCGAACCACGAGTATTGTACAATGCATCACGCTAAAAAAAGATTTATATTTATATACAAACATATGATAATGATCATTATTCTTTTTTGTATAATTAACTGCTCATAGAAAACTAAATATGACTGATTCTACACATTCTATTTAGAGATTCTCTGAGCTTTCGTTTAACTGTAACTTTCATACTTTAAATGCTTGCTGTTCATCTTCATTAAAGAATAGACCATGAATACTTGATGTTTCACTTTCTGATGTATTATCATCGGACATATATGCATCACCATCCTAGATTAAAATCTTTTATAATTTCAATGTAATCGATTATATGATACATACACTTGAAGTTTGTTGTTGATTATTGTTACCACTGTTTGGTAATGTAGTATATGTATCTTGTGTGCGTCGATTATTATCACCTATACACGATGGATGAAGAAATAGATGATCTTCATCTTTTTTATTACTGCTACTAATATGTTGATTTTGATATGACAAATGAGAAAATGATGTTGCTATTATTGGAACACTATTAGGATTTTGAATTGAATTTGAATCATCAGTTGTATGATCTGGAATATCTGAATGAAAAAAAAACATGTGATACAAGAAAATATAGATGCATATGAAATGATTTACTAGAACGATATTGCATTGTTGTTGTTGTTGAAACTCGTGTAAATTTTTCATCCATTTCATCAGCTGATTTATCTCCATGTGAATAATCGCTAAAAAAATATGCAAATACAGAAAAATAATATATAGATATATGTATTCACTTACGATGGAGAATAACCAGTACGTATTTGTGATCGAGAAATGAAAGTTGTTGTAGGTTGAGGTCGAGTTGATGATGATTGTTGTTGTTGTTGTTGTTGTTGATCATCAATACGATTAGGAGGATAAGTTTGTTGAGATGTTTGATGACTATAATCATGTAAATGTTCGTCTAAATGAAATATCGATAAAATTAAAAAAGAATAAATATTTTTTTTTTTATCTTGCCATTTAAACGTGGTTGTTGTTGTCCAACAAAGTTTGTTGGTGTTCTTTGTGATTGTAAATGTGAAAAAGTAGTTGTTACTTGTGCCTGTTGTCTTGCTGGTTGTTCAGGCGGAGCAACCCAAACACCATCAGAATGAGCTGCAGATGATGAAGAAACACTGTCAATAACAGATGGAGGATGTGGATGTTGTTGAACAACAAATGTAGTAGAAGTTGTATTTGCCGACGGAGCCATAGCTAATGATAACGTGTCCATTGGGTGTGCACGATGAGGAGGTTGAGCTGATTGTAAAAAAGCGACAATTTGTTTATTATTGCTTGGTGGATCATGTCGAGCAGGCTATAGAAGACGTACATATATATAATTTTTCAAATAATAACAATAGTATTTCTTAACTTACTGGAGATTTCGGACGAGCTAAAACACCGACAATAGCCAATGTTAAAACATCATATTTTCCTTTGACAATCATCGAATCCATTGGAATCTAAGCACGAAAAAAAATAATAGATGATCGAATATACTATGTAAAGTCTTTGTGACTTACCGAAAGCGATGGATAGTAAACTATATCATTTTCATCACGAAAAACTTTTCTATATTGTAAAGAAAAATAAATGTGCATTTTTTTTTAAATTAGCATATGTTTTATCTTACTTTCCAAGCCGTCGATATCTCACTCTATCACGGTTTGATCGCACGTTAAGATTTTTTCCGAAAAATTCTAATTCACATGGCATTGGTTTCGTTGCTCTTTAAAGATTAAATGAGAAAAATAAGTATATGTTCAGAAAATGTTCTTTAAAAAAGTCAAATGTTATGAATTCTTTATTACCCAACACGTGTAGATGCTTTTTCTAAACCAGTGACATTATAGCCAGCTGGTAAGACACGAATTTCATCAACGTATACCGGTTGATCAAATTTTATTTCATCTACTTGAAGAACCTAGAAAAAACAAGCATAAGATTAAACTCATATGTCATACGAAAATATTTCATAAAACCTGTTCGATTTCTCCATCGTGAGCAATCGTATCAAAGAAAAGAATTTCTTGTTGAGATGAACTCATCGTCTTCTTATAATTGACATCTAAAACTTTCGAAGAAAAACAAATGAATACAAAAAATAATAAAAATCTTATTCAGTGTAAGCTACTCATTGACTTCTCTCTTCTGTCTATTTTATTTTTTGCGAATGAGCCATTAGATTATTGGTCAATAATTGAGACCAATAAGGCATGATGATAGTTTCAGTTGGGTAGTTTACGACATCTATCAGTCTTTTTTAGGCATATTCAGAAACATCAGCTACGATGTATACGAATCTACGAAAATTGATCCAATATAAACCAGTCAAGCAACTTATGATAGAGTGAATATGCGTGTGGATTTGGGCTTGATGTTCTTGTACCTCCATAAGCCGGTATCCGCATCCTACATCCACATTCGCACCAATACTCCCATACACACCCTCATCCTGACTTTGATTATAATAAATAGAAAAGAGTTTTCCTCGTTTAAGTACTTGTTCAAATACAATCAATTGACACTCAAGATGTCAGTTCACAACAACGTCTCGAGTCGGTTTCTGACAGCTTCTTTAATGACAAAACTACTAACGGACTAAACGAAAATAGTATAAGTAGTCAGTGACTTGTTTTTCAAAGTTTATGTAGAAATTACTCTAAATCTGATAAAAATTCTTCGGCATACTCGTTGAATATAAAGATTGGTAGCAACTTTAATTGATGAGTGGACAACGATATGTTTGTTACACAGTATCATTCAATAGAGAGGGATACTGACTCTGCTTTTTATTTTTTACTTGCTGGTAGCATCGAAGATGAGCTTTATGCAAGCGGAGAAGTCGCAAGTACAAATGTTGTTCAAAATGATGCGTAACTTAGCAATGCGATCAAGGTTTATCTTTTAATAAAAAACTGAAAGCACTCTATACTGGCGTGAATCATATACCAGATGCCACAATGACTAAATCAATCGTCATACTATTCACTAGACACACTATTATTTTAAGATATACCGGAAGCTGATGCATTAAAGAAACTGATCATCTATCGATCATGGCAATTGAGTTATGAAAACTTGATGCCATAGTCAAATCAAGATTGAATTATAACTTCATCATTATGGCATTTATTGTTCTCGCACCCAATATCAGTATTGGTAAATACATCAACAACTGCATAGTGATGTGTCTGTGCGTATTAAGAATTCAAAATGGTTAAAATGACTTCTCTAGATTTTTCTCAAATTCTCGTCATTATCACTGAATGAGATGATGATAATTACCTATTTAATAAATCAATTACTCATTTATTCAACTTTATTAGTGCTTCTGTCGAAAGAATGCTTTTTTTTTATCAAATAATAAATTCGCCTTGTAATAATGAGTTGGAAATGGATGTTTTTATCAAAACCTTCATTTCTTCTCTTCACATTCCAATACTATTGTATTTTTCGTATCGGATATATAATGCGGTTCACCAAAATATTGTGTAGGTGTCAGAATGACTGGACAGAATGCATATGCTTTCAGTTTTCCATTGGCAAAATAAATTCTTCAATTTTCATTTCGATGATGTTCCTACATAACAAGTAAATATTCATCAACAGGTAAAATTTTTTTTTAAGCGGACTTTTATTAACAAGCACATGTGCCCCACGTAATGACAATGCGTAACCAACAGTTCAATGTGAAATAAGATGATTTAATAAGAAATTTTTTTATTGCTTGTTCATAGTTTTCTTTATTCAGTTGCATTATTTTTCTACTAAGATATAAAAGATTTCAATCAAACGAACGACTGATATTCACTTTTTCATTATATCGCCACAAATAAAATACTGCGAAAGAACACAACCAATTTCACCATAATCCATTGGTCGTTTATGATATAGATCTTCATAGTTTGATAAAAGATGAATATTAAAATTTTCTAAATATGTGTGATTAACTGTATTTTTTTCATTGATTGCATAAAAAAATCGTACATCGATATCGAGTATAGTAAATGATGCCTCTAAACGATTAAGACAATCTTGACGTCATAAAAGATTAATAACATAAGTTTCATCTAAACCGAATATAGTTTTTTCTTAAATTGGTGTTAAACTAATCAATGATGTACGAGCTATTTGTGATAAATAAGTTTGTGAAGGACCATTAAGTAAATATTCAATCAATATATGCGTGTAATAATCATATATAACGAATTCATCATAATACACTTCCGAAAACTATAAAGGTATATAACCAAATAATTCTCGACTATAAAAAGACATCGTAGTTAAATTCTTTGCAACGATTGCATCAATACTTATGATTTATATATTGTTGAATGTAATAATGGTTTATTCCTAGAAATTAGTATCGATAGGCCCTTTTCAGGTTCTAACAAAATAATCACTGAATCAAACATAGTAACATATGTTATTTGAAGTTTTAATGTTCGTTTCACTACATCACGTAAACGATTTCACCGATCAGTTTTTGATTTTGCTGTTCATTCATGAACAATAATTGCTGTAAACAATGACTGATCAGAATTCTTCATAGCCGTCATCTATTCGTTTAGTAATCGACTAGTTTCATTTTCATTTGTTGTATTGAATAGATGATCAAGATATAAATCCAAATAACATTACTTACATGGGCACGTCCATTGTTCAAGTTGATGAAGAGAATAAAGCACTGTATAAAGTCGATTGTAAATATCAACATGAACTAATAAATGATGATCACTAGTAGGTGAATCATTTTCTCCACATAATCGATAGCTTTTTGTACTCGTGCCAAAGAATAAGTAAAGAAAAAGTACTGTATCTGAATGAAATGGTTTATCATTCTGCGAGAATTTTAAATGAATATAAAATGCACAATAATAAACACTTATTAAAAGAATTAGCTAAGTACACAATATTCTTTTTCTTATTAAAAACACACTCAGTATTCGCTATTTGTGTTTTTCTCCTGTGCTCCCTCAGTACTGTTCTTTAGCTAAAAGATATTGATAGAGACAATAAAAAGTTAGACATATATTTGAATAGGCCTTTGACACATATTTATACAAACAATGTCGGGAGTGTGCAAAAATAATATCGCAAGTTTTTCTTCGTTGTCTGAACACATATGAAATGTATAAATATAGACGTTGAATAAATGAGTATAAGTTCATTCTGACCTTATGTTCTTGGGATTGATATCAACTGACGAATGCAATCGTGAAAAGAGGCAAGAAAAGATTGAGCGTACAAACCAAAACACTCATTGAATGATAAGATAACGGATAATATTTTTAAAAAGCTATAATTCTATTCATCAGGAATTGCAATGCGACGTCTAAAAATTTGTAATTATCTATTAAAATGTATATTTTGTCCAAATGCAACATATTGCCAAAGATACTCATCCTGAGAAATCGATAATTCAACAAGGATTAGAAAAGACATCTTACCTCCGTGAAAATTAAATTATTCTCATATTACTATAAGATATAGTTTAGAAACTAAATCACCATATACAATGAACTTCTACGTAGTGAAGATTTTCTTTTTTGTATGATGATGATACAATGCATTATTTTTGATTGATAGCACAAAACAGAGACGGACGAGTCAGCAAAAAAGTCGCACCGTCACAGCCCCGTCCCGCCCCGTTGATAACGTTCCGCACCGCCACCGCCCAGCCTGTTCAGCATTGAAACCGTCACCGCCCCGCCCCGCCCCGTCTAAAATATGTTTTCAAAAACTATTTCTTGACAAATTTTTCATTAAATTTTCATAATGGTTATTTGATTTCATGAGATGAAGAGGCATATTTTAAATGCATAAACATCGTTCCGAAATAGAAAAAAAATAAACATATGAAAATGAAAGGCAATTATAATACAACCACTCATTTTGTGAAACTCACGTATATTTTCGAAGAAAATAGTGATTGTAAGTTTTAAGTTCGAGGTTTGGCGACTCTCCCCCTTCTTCCACTCCATTACAGACACCCCACCCAGGGTTGCCAGATCTTCCGATACGGCAGGAAAAATTCCGATTTTTTGAAAGTTTCTTCAACTACTTTCCGACGTTCCAATTTTTTCCGATTTTAACATATTTTTCCGATTGCCTTCAGATTTCCTAATTTTCCTCTGGCTTTCGAAGTCTTGTTTGTGAATTCAAGTTCTTAGGACATTCCAGAATAATTTAACCATGACGCGATGCCACACATATATTGCGATCTATTTCACCATAATTATCGGGTAGTGAAGCGTCATGTACTCAATAAACCACACTGCAGTGATTTGAAAGCATATCGTCCAATAAAACTATGATGTTTTACAGACAATTAAGATCTAGTTTTCTATCACGATGAACTACCTTTCTCTGTTCGTTTACTATACTGATAATTAAGAATATTTTCGTTTTTGAGCTTTTTTGTTTCATCACAGATATAATAAAACTAATCATAATCGTATGGGTACTAATTTAGCTGTTGCAGAATTGAAAATCGGAATGAATTCTGTTTATACTTGTGGACATTTTTATGAATATCTGTTACATCAACCTGATATTTTGAAGAGTATTCGAGCTAATAAAAAAGTATGAACAAAAACGAACATTATACAGAATAAGTCTTAGTTTCTTTTGCACAAGTTTTGTGAAATGCATGTGTGTGTATGAATTTACAATGCTGATTCTATTGTTTCGTCAAGTTGGTTATAGCATTTTTGATAAAAACAATGTGATCCTGTTCAAATGACTTATGTAGGTTTCTTAATCATGAGTAAATTGTGTAATCGATATTTTTTTTAATTCTGTGTGAAATATCATTTCCGATATTGCTTCGAAAAGATGAACAGAAGCAAGATAAAGGATATTGAAGCTATCGAAAATATATAGACTAGTTATTTAAGCATGGAAAAATACTTTCTGATTTTCTTTCGATTTCGAGAACAAAAATTCCGACATTTTCCCGATTTTTAGAAAAATTTTTCTGATTTTTTATTTTTCTGTCTGGCAACCCTGACCACCACCATGACAGACCTCAGCAACAGCGCAT